TTTCCGGTTAGCTTATTTTGAGGCTTAAACACCCTCTAAACAAAATTTTATTATTTCTTTGCTTTCCTCCTAGGATGTAGCAACCGAGACGGGTAGTTCTTTTCTATTTCCTGGGGTTGACTTTGAGCTGAGACTCAGACACCATCGTCTTTCCTAATTGCCGACGGAAAATGGCTGCGATGTCGATGGATTTGGTTATCGATATTCTCCTCCGCCTCCCGGTGAAGTCTCTCTTGCGATTCAGATGCGTTTCCACATCATTTTGCTCCGAGATTGACAGTGCAGATTTCGTCAATACTCATGTCAACAGATCAATCCAAAGCAGAACCGGCCAAAAGCTAATTGTCAGTGGCTCATCATCTTGCAACGGTCCCACCGATTTCTACGCAGCTGATTTTGAAGACGACCTCAAAGCTGCCTTCCTACTCAACAACCCATTAAAATCTCAACATGGCAGCAACATGGTATGCGGTTCTTGCAATGGTTTGATTCTCTTGGGTATGCTTTCTAATTCTAGATTTAGACGCACTGAACATGCCATATGGAATCCATTTACTAGGCGGTATAAGAAAGTACCGATTTGTCCAGTCCAAACCCTACCTGGGTACTGCTGGTATTTCAATATTGGTTTGGGGTATGATTCTGCTCATGATGACTATAAGATTATAATGATTTCACTGGTTGTTGAGTCCAATCATTTTTCTTACCCAGTCTGGCTGTTTAGTTTGAAATCAAGTTCTTGGAGAAGGAGTCAAGATTTTCTGTTGGAGCTTAGAAATGGTTCAAGGGAGATAGCAGGACGTTTTGCAAATGGTGCTCTGTACTGGGATGGCTCAGATGGGATTGTTGGTTTTGATATCGCAAATGAGGTGTTCTTTATGATCCAGAAATCGTCTGGTTACTTGGTGGTTTTAGGAGGTAACCTTTATATCCCTGTACCACGTGCTGATGATAAAGATGTAGACTTTTACTTGTATGCCAGTGATAACGGTGGAGAAGTTGCCTCTGGTAGTTGGAGGAAAGAATTCACAGTGGAGGAAGAGGTGCTGTCCAGGTATAATGTTCTCCGACTTTGGCCTTTGGCTTACTCAAAAGATGGGGATAGCATTCTGCTGCTTACTAAAGAAAATGGGTTTGTTTGGTATAATTTTGAAAACAAAACGAGACAAAGGGTGGAAATTCCTGGGATGCCTAAGGTCATGCTTGAGGATCCGACCAAAAAACACTGTGTTAACTTGGAAAGCCTTGTTTCTGTTGGCAATGATAGTGCATTTGATGGGGCAGCTGAGGAAGTGATACTAAATGATTAAGACCTCTTTTGGAAGGTTCAAGTTTGCACAGACCAATGGCTGTGATTCTGCGAAGTGGACATGTTTTTGGTTAGTAAGGGGTGATAATTTTTCAGTGAAATTCCATGTTTTTGTTCATGTTTATGTATTTATGTGGGTTCTCTGCTCTAAGTATGTATGGCATTGCCTGTTATTTATAAAAGTTCTTTTTT